CTTATTTATCAAAATAATTATTAATTTCTTAAAAATTAATTCCTCCAACTACACTGTCACCTGCAAATACTTTTTCCTTTAAAATTTTTAAATTTATGACAGTTTTCCTTCAAGAATAAAACTGTTTAAAAGTTTGTCCTTAAAACCTGTTTTTTCTGTTAAAGAGAAAAAAACATCAATAAACATTTTCATTGAATCGAATCAAATTGTGATTAATCAATTCAGAACTTTATGAATCGAAATCGAATCAATTTAGAGAATTGGTCATGATACCCAGTCCTGCTCAACAAGGTCCCAAAATGGACCACTAAACCCTGAACATGGAGAACAGATCAACGACCCAAAACCTCCTGCAGAGGCAACGAGGAGGAGCTGAAGATCTGAGGAGCTGAAGATCTGAGGAGCTGAACATCTGAGGAGCTGAACATCTGAGGAGCTGAACATCTGAGGAGCTGAACATCTGAGCAGCTGAAGAACAAACTGAAGATCTGAGGAGCTGAAGCAGTGGTGAAGAACCTGGAGGATTTAGATTTCCAGTAAAGACTCAGATGTAGAGCAGCTACAACATCTGAGTCATGATTTATTGTGAAAAACACAATCAGCTTTAGCCTCAAAAACTTCAGTTAGAAATGTTAACAGAGCCTAAAACAAACTAGTAAAAACACGTTTTACAATATTTTATAAAAACGAGCCGAAGCAGTGAAACAAAGAGGTTCTAAAACTCTGTCAAAAAAAAAACATTATTTCTCAGCAGGAGGTGAAAATAACAAGAGGAGCAGCTGCATTCCACAGAACCACAATCACAATGTTTCCATGTTGTCAGAGAAAGAGAACACACACACACACACACACACACACACACACACACACACACACACACACACACACACGTTCTCCCAGGGAAAATTCCACCTCCATATTTCCTCTGCAGGTTTTAGTGGTTTTTAAAGCTCAGGAGGACACAACAGATTGTGTTGTTAGTCCAGTTGTTGTTTCATTTCCCAACATGACGTCACAGCAGAAAGTCTCATCACATTCAAAAATAATAAAAATAAAAAATCATCCTGATTCCGGCAAAACCTGTTGGAACAGAACAGGTAGCTCAACAGTCCAGTCTGGTTCTGCTGCTGAGGTTTGTTTAACAACACAAACAACCGTTTTTACAGACAAACTTTATTCTAACTGCAACACACAAAAACACAACACAACAACAGCTGAAGCCACACAACTCACAGCACATAAGGCTTTCACTAAACATTAAATAAGAAAGGTTGTGTGTTTTATTAAACTACAYCCTTTTAAATAAACAGATTAAATCAAACTCTTACAGTAATGAATGTTTTCCTCACAAACAGCAGCTGCTTGTTACACAACTTCATTTAGTTTAACTGGTTTAAACAATGTGAGGGAATTAATTTAACTGGTTTAAACAATGTGAGGGAATTAATTTAACTGGTTTAAACAGTGTGAGGGAATTAATTTAACTGGTTTAAACAATGTGAGTGAATTAATTTAACTGGTTTAAACAATGTGAGTGAATTAATTTAACTGGTTTAAACAACGTGAGTGAATTATTTAACTGGTTTAAACAATGTGAGTGAATTAATTTAACTGGTTTTAAACAGTGTGAGTGAATTAATTTAACTGGTTTTAAACAGTGTGAGTGAATTAATTTAACTGGTTTAAACAATGTGAGTGAATTAATTTAACTGGTTTAAAGAGTGTGAGTGAATTAATTTAGTTTAACTGGTTTAAACAGTGTGAGTGAATTAATAAGCCAAAGAATCACTCATTTAAAAACAAAAAAAAAAACTTAACTAAAAACAGAAAAGCTGATAAATATTTGGACACAAAGAGTAAAATATGTTCTTTAAATGTTCGTCAGACTTTATCCTCCCTTCGTTCTGTTGAATCAAAGATTTAAAAGTTTAATAATAAATCTTTGGATCAAACAGAACCTCATGGATCCAGGTCTCCTGACAGGTCCAGGTCCAGGTCCAACAAGTGTTTTAAAAGAGTAAAATGATTGCTGCAGCAGATCTGTGCTGCTTTCAGGTTCATGTCAGAAAGTAAAGCAGCAGCAGGAGAACCTTCCTGTCTGACCATCATCAYGGTGTCAAAACTCCTGATTCACATTTTATTATGAAATATTTTTATTTTTCCTTTGTTTTCATGTTCCTCTTTATTATTCTTTAACTACTCCGAATGTTCTTCAGCACCTTTGTCATTCCACAATTTTTGTGTTATTTCAGCATTTCATATATCAAAACGTTCGACTCATTTATCACAATCCTGCTATGACTTTTGGTATTTCAGCTATTTATATTTTTTTTAGCCACTTCGGATTTTTAGCCATTTTTTTCCCATTAATAATGAACAGAGCTGTTTTTAACATCCTTAAAATCTTTCAAAAATGTTTCTAAATCCTTACAGCACCTTCATTCTGCTCATTTTTAGCTTTTTTCTGCTATTTTAGCTTTTTCTGCTATTTTAGCTATAATTCTGCTTCTTTATAATTTCTACTTTTTTGTGCTTCTTTTTACTAACAGTTGTTTTCTGCTATATTCAGATATTTGCAGCAATTTTTTACAAATATTTAGCTGTTATTAGCTGAAGTTGGCATTTTTAGGCTAACTTTACATTGTGGTGGCTATTTCAGCTTCTTTCKGCTTAGTTCAGCAAACTTGTGCTCCTTATGCTAATTTAAGATTTTCTAGCTTTGTTTTAGCTGTTTTWCTGAACACCTAATTTCCYTCTGGGATCAATAAAGTGTTTTTGAATTTGAATTCAACTGAATTTTTGCTGTTTTAGCTATTTTACAGCAAATTGTCACTTTTTTGTACTTTTATTCATTTTTTTCTACTAGTTTTACATTTTAAACMCTTTCACCATCTGGGTGCTAATTTCAACTTGTGTCTGCTACCTCTAGCTTGTTTTAAGCTAATTTTAGCTTTTTTCTGCTATTCTGGCTTTTATTTGCTTCTTTTTACTATAGTTTCTGTGGTTTTTTGTGCTTCTTTCAACTTTTCAAATTGAACTGGCAACAGTTTTGCTATAAAACATTTTCGGCTTCATTTCAGCAGCTTTCAGCTGAAATTTTCACCATTTTCACAGGAAATGCAGTTTCTCCAGTTCTCTTCTGATAAATAATAAAATAATAAATAAAGCTGGTCACAGACCTTTCTTCTCTCCGGTGAAGGGCACGATGTCCTCTCGGTCTTTATAATCCATGGCTTCTTTCTCCAGATACTTCAGCAGGCGGTCCCGGTCAAAGGGTCCGGTGGCTCCCTTTGAGGTCTGGTCTTTCTGTCGTAAACCAGCTGGAAGAAGTGCATTCTGGGAAGAAAACACAAAGAACTCTTTCACATTTTGTCTCACAATAAAACCATTTTTTAATTAATTAAAAACTTCATGTAATTCTGGAAACGCTTTGAGAAAAGTTTTTCCACACAAAGTGAAATAAAGTAATATTCACTGCTCAGCTTCAGTTCAGTTTATTTTTATTTCTTTTCACAGATGGRATAATTAAAATGCTGCGCTGCTCTAAAGTTCCTGTGACATGCCTATCCTTCAAAAACAAAACGTCAAAAAAAACATCTTTATACTTGAGAGAATTGACATAATTCACATGATTTTATTCATTTTGTCACATAACTGGCCTCTTTTCTGCTGTATTTGGCTCAGCCAAAGTGAAACAGGAAGTGACATCAAAGGAGAACTCATTAATAAAATAAACTCGCTGGTCTCCGTTTATTGAAACAAAATTATTTAAACTTTAAACTCTTCATCTGTCTTTGATAGAGACTAAAAACAACCTAAAGAAACATCAGATTCTTCTCTACAGTCTGTGTTGTTAGCTTTGGTAACAACACTCTGTTTACATGCAGACATTCCCCTCTGACATCACTTCCTGTTTCTTCACATGTAAATATCTCAACAACCGTTCATCTCAGTGACATGAAATTTGTTTTGTAATATTTTATCAATGTTATCTTTCCAAAAATGCGTTTAGGTTTATTACAAAACTTTGACGCCACAGGCCCTTTAATAAACACGAGGTTCCAGCAGGATGTGTTAAAATGAACATCTGCAGGTTAAACCTGAGCTGTAGCTTCAAACAGCTGAAGAGACTGAAAACAGCTGAAGAGACTGAAAACAGCTGAAGAGACTGAAAACAGCTAAAGAGACTGAAAACAGCTGGAGAGACTGAAAACAGCTGAAGAGACTGAAAACAGCTCAACGCAGGCAGAAGACTGTGTTGGAGCTTCTTTCTGCTCAGAGATTAAAGGCTTTTATTTCCCAATAAATCATAACGGAACAGGAAGTTCCTCCAGCCCTCACTGACCTCAGGGTCCATCTCCTCCAGGGCCATCTCCAGCTGTTTGAGGTCCTCCGCCGACAGCTTCCCCAGGATCTCATCTTCATCGATGTCCTTGTATTTGCCCAGATCCTTTTTGAAAGGCAGCGCCATGATGGCTAACGCTTGTTGTGGAACAGCGAGCAGCGAGCTGCAGCCAGGCCGGTCCTGGTTCTGGTCCTGGTTCTGAGGGACACCTGAGGAGAGGACGAGGAACACGTCAGTTCATGATGTCAGCCTGAGTAGAAGAAGAGCTCTGAACTCTAAACAGCAGTGATGATGTCATCTCTGGGGAACAATGAGCCGCTGAACATCTGGCTCTGCAGAGATGATGCAACACAGCTGGAACAAAAGCCCGGCGGATCGGCTGACGTCTCCCTCAAACTATTCCTCCAGAACACACATGATGTAGACTGAAACCATCAGGTTTCCACCACTTWTAAGATCCAATAAACTCCAGATGAGTGGAGCCTGACTGAACAAACGATCAGATAGAAGAGCTTCAGCTCCTTGTCCCACRCCACGGTGCCGACCTTCAGATGACCTCATCATCTCCAGATCACCTGCAGGACTGACGTCACAATCCTGGACCTTTATCTGTACCTTTACCTAAACACACATTACTGCCTGGTGTCATATTTTACAAAACTGGTGAGTTTGTGTTTCAACACAACTCATGTTTGGTGTTAAATAATCAGCAATGAGGCGAGAACACCTGCTGCTCCCTGACAATGAGTCAGAACAGAACCGTTTTACCTGGCACTCTGTGATCACTGGCTTATACAAGTCCCTGTGGTGTGGAGCTAATGCTAATGTCGAGCTAACGCTAATTAGAAGCTAACGCCAACATGGAGCTAATGCCAATGAGAAACTAATTCCAACGTGGAGCTAATGAGAAACTAATGCCAAAGTGGAGCTAACACTAATGAGAAGCTAATGCCAACGTAGAGCTAACGTAGAGCTAACGCTAATGAGAAACTAATGCCAACGTGGAGCTAATGCTAATGAGAAACTAATGCCAACGTAGAGCTAACGTAGAGCTAACGCTAATGAGAAACTAATGCCAACGTGGAGCTAATGCTAATGAGAAACTAATGCCAACGTAGAGCTAACGTAGAGCTAACGCTAATGAGAAACTAATGCCAACGTGGAGCTAATGCTAATGAGAAACTAATGCCAACGTGGAGCTAATGCTAATGAGAAGCTAATGCCAACATGGAGCTAACGCTAATGTGGTTCTAACGCTAAAGACAATACTATTGCAGAGCTTATGCTAACATTGACATGGAGCTACTGTTAATACAGAGCTAACGAGAAGCTCATGCTAACACTAACACAGAGCTAACGTTAATGAAGTGCTAACACTAATGTGGTTCTAACACTAAAGCCAACACTACAAACTTGTTTAACCTCCTGAATCACCATGAGAGCAGGAGGACGAGGAGAGCCAGAGAACGTGAACAGAGGCTGCAACAAACGCTCCTCCAGTGAATGATGGAAACAGATCTGCTCAGCAGAGAATCAACAATGCTCTCAGTCAATCTGTCCTTCACCAGCAGCAAAGAGATGGACGGAGTTAACACAGGGATGGATGTTAAAATGAAGTTTATGATTTATACAAGTCAAACATATGCAGCAAATGCAACTGTCGACTATTAAGATTATTAATTAATCATGATTCAATATCAGCTGAACTCAAAGGTTTAAATCAGGGCTTCATCTACAGACAGGAAACTGTTTGAGGAGCAGGTTTGTGTCTCTGCAGTCTGGTGTTTGTCCAGGACTGATTCGTCCCCTCACCTCCTGAATCACTCCACATTTATACCTGAAATAATGAGAGTCACAACAGGAGCAGTTATAAAGCCGATTAGCAGCAGATGAAGCTGAGGCCTGATGACATCACTTAATCAGAGCACATGATAATGATCCCCTCAATAATCTCATCTACGGGTTCGTTGGGCCTGGAACACTGAGTCGAGTCAGAACATGTCAGACCTGTGGCAGCAGAAACACAGAGGTCCTTGTGCTGCACTGATGGAGACTGGATGGAAAGGTTCAGGAGGGAGTTTTAATTTCCTTCAGAGGCTTTCAGTGGAGATTTAAACAGCTTAGAACAGTTGAGTGGTCTCAGACGCCCATCTCAAGGGGTCTACAGAGGATGTTTCCATCTCTTTATGACAGAAACATCAGAGGCTACAGACACACATGTCCTGGGGTCTCATTTATAAAGGATTGCGTGGAAACCATACTAAAAGTGAACGTACGGCCAAAAGGCGGAAATGGCGTACGCCAAAAAAAATTCAGATTTATAAAACCGTACGCACGTTTCTGCACAGCTTTCCTTTATAAATCACAGCCGCACGTCAGAGTTTGTGCACGAGGTCCTCCTCAGGTTCTACCCTCTACACGCCCACACTCAACCATAAACAGTCAATGTAAAGTACCTGATGAATGTTAAGATGTATTTAAATCAGTCAGATGATCAGTGATTGGTTCAGACAGGTGCTGACTGACAGCTGCTCACCTGAACACAATGTCTGTAACTGACACAGATTTCCCCTCATTTTGCTTTAGAGTAATATAACGATTTTTATAAAAAAAAAATCTCAGCGTCAACTTAATTTTCTCTCAGAGCCTGCAGGACGATAAAAACAATAAAAATGTAATTAAATAAGTCAAATAAAATTAGAAATAAGCTCACCGCTCTTCTCCTCGTCCTCTCCCCCTCCTGCCTGCTCGGTATTTTGGACGCTGCTGTTTCCTGTACCTGCCGTTACCTGGTTTATTTATTTAATTACTTATTCACTTTAAAGGCAACGTTTTGACCTTTTTTTATCTTTCTTTAAAAATAATAAAATGCCTGAGAATTAAATGTTCTGGGGGTTAATTTTCATTTAATAATCAGTTGTACATTATGGTTTTGGAGACTCATTATGTTTGACTGAGGGGTAGTAGTGGTATGACTAAATGACTCAGGGGTTCACAAGTCTAAAAAGGTTGAACCACTGATTTAATACATTAAAAACATCTGTATTATATAGAGCAGGTGGCTACATAAATAACAATGAAGTCACCTGTTGGTCTCATTATAAAGCAGGCTTTAATGAGACAGCTGTGGGGAAATTTATACATTTTCAACAACAGTTTCATCCCAGTGAGATCAGATCTAAAGCTGAGCTACATTAGAAGGTCAAATAATGAACTCTGACATAAAACCAGCCCGAATAAAGACATTTTGTTAAAATAAAATCATAAAAACATCAACGAGACAAACCCCATTAAAAGCAGCACTTTTTTCTTCCAAATAATTTGCATGATGCAACGATAGCAGCAGTCAGCTGTGCTGCCATCAGGGATCCGCTTCGTTTCTCAGGATTTGTTTTAAACAGGAAAGTTTTTACCGTATTTTTCGGACTATAAGCCGCGACTTTTCATGAACTTTGAACCATGCAGCTTATAGTCCGGTGCGGCTTATACGCAMATGGATTTTTTTCTTAAGCCACCAGGGGGCTCTTATGCTGCATTTACTTCAACYACTCGCTTAAAAAAGAAAGGAAAAAAAACATAAGAAAAAAGCGATCGCTTCCAGAGCCGACTGTTGACCAGGAAGCAGCGATTTAAAGATAGTCAATGGCCAAAAACTCATAAAAGGGGATAAAACAGACATTTTTCACGRTGGAATCTGACTGATAAAAACTTTGGAGCTTAATCCAGGACCAGTTTGTGGATAAACGTCGAGCGAAGAGCCGCGGACGTTCTTTGTCCTCATTGCACTCCCCGGGGAAGGAATCCCATGCAGTGACGTATGCTGGAGCGGGAGGGCTTTCCCAGCAGATCGGCTCAGGGTTTCTCAGGGGAACTATGAAAGGTCAGTGCGAAAACAAAYGCCGAAAAATCACGTGACGGCACGTCGACCGGTCGACAGCTGAGCGACCATACTCCCAGCTTAGCCAGAGGTGTAGCGCCATTTTGTTTTAGCTAGTAGCAGACACGACACGACGGATCTTGGACAGACATGATATTGGACAGTATGCGGGCCCACATCATGGATTCAGTGAAAGCAGCCATCAGGAAAACAAAGTCAATTCCTGCTGTTATTCCTGGAGGTACAAAGTTTTTACAACCCCTGGACATCAGTGTGAATCGTGCATTTAAAGCAGCACTGACGGGGATAAAACATTCACAAAAACTGGCCGAATGTGAAGAGCGTCATTTCCTGATGTCTGCCAGTGGATCCTAACAGTGTGGAGCAGAGTGAATGAGTCCACCATCACCAGTGGGTTCTGAAAGGCTGGACTGCTACGTGAAGAGGACACCACAGCTTCAGAGCCAGCATTACCCCGGGAGGACAACAGATACCGCTGTGTGACGCAGCTTTTCTCAGCTTGTTTAACTCCGACACTGAAGAGGAGGACTTCGATGGTTTCAGTGCACCGGAGGAAGATGAATGAGATGTTTTGTTGGACCAGAAACTGTTAAAGAAAACTACCAAAATAAGGTCAGTTAAATGAACCGTGTTCCTCCGAACTTTAATTCCTAAAGGTTTGCTTTTTATGTTTTGATGCTGAATTCACTTTTTTGACGACAATTTTGGGTGTACTGGTTTTTTTTATGTTGGGGGTGCGGCTTATAGTCCGGTGCAGCTTATAGTCCAAAAAATACGGTACTCTGAAATATGAGCAGACACAGACGGAGACGAACAGGAAGCTCAAAATAACTTTTTATCACAAATTCTGTCCCGTTCAGTTTGATGCAGCGCTCCTTCAGCTGTTACTGGGCTGCAGGAGTGATGGAGCGAGCACGCAGAGATGATGATGGTGATGGTGAGTAAAGGGTGGGTAAAGGGTGAGTAAGGGGTGAGTAAAGGGTGAGTAAAGGGTTGGTAAAGGGTGAGTAAAGGGTGAGTAAAGGGTGAGTAAAGGGTGAGTAAAGGGTGGGGACACTCAAGAGGATCCATTAGCCCAGCTCGATTGATTCCTTTCTGTTAATCCTTCAGAACAACAGATGGATCCGAGCCAACAACAGAACCTTCCCTGCTCTGAGATCACTGAGCCGTCTGAACGTCCACAACTGACAGGAAACATGTTTTATACTTCCTCCTCACTACAAAACACAGAAAAACAAGAAAAACATCTGCTKCTGGACTAAAGTTTCATTTAAAAGGCTGGTTTTATTGACTTGTTTTCATAAAAGGATT